AACAAAAAGAAGAACCAGAAGACAAAACCACAAAAAAAAAAAAAAAAAAAAAAAAAAAAAAAAAAAAAAAATTGCATGGCTGTACCCATCATGATTTAAGTAATTTTGTTGAATTTTAAAAGCTAAGTTGAAATAAAATTTGAAGTTGAAAATGTAATTCAATATTTGATTTAAAACCTAAACCCAGGCTATCGAGATTAGTTATGTGGTGTTGAAACTTTTGTGCCAGTTTTTCCTTACTGACTGGACCTATCAGGGCTTCAGTTCCTGGATGCCAATAGCATAACCTTTCTGCTTTCCCTCTGTTTCATCTTATTTCTATTCTTTTTTTTTTCTTTGTCTTTTTTGAGACAGGATCTTGCTATGCCTATGTAGCCCAGGTTGACCTCCAACTCAATGGCAATTCTGCCTCACAGCCTCCCTAGTTCTGGGATTACAGGTTTGCCCACTACTCCCTGCTAGTCCTCTTTTGGGGGGGCGGGTGCTGTAATCAAACCCAGGACCTTGGTTTGACAGGCAAGCGCTGCACCACTGTTGTTCATCTCTTTTTCATCATTAAATTGAAAAGCATACACTGTCATTTGTTCACATCATTGGCAAAATCACCCTTATTTGAGAACCAGTGATCTAAGAGAATGAGTTTTTTGTTTGGGGGATAGAACTCAGGATCTTGCACTTGCGAGGCAGGTGTTGGCACCATTGAACTAAATCCCCAGCCTGATGTTCATCTATTTTTAACCTTAGCTTTTCCCTGCATAGCTTCCCTTCCATATGAATCCTGAACCGGGTAAAACATTTCTTGGAAAGTATCACTAGGTTTCAGTGTATAAGGACAAGTAACTCAAAATATGATACTATCTTCTGTGGGAGGTAAGTAATTACAAAGTTTCTTATGGCTGAAAAAGAGAAAGCTGTAGCTGTTTAATTCATCATAGTGTTTCTATAAATGTTGCAATTTGTTAGTGTGATTTCTAAAATGGTACTTGATATTTATCTCAGAGGTGGATACTAATTGCCATGATTCTTATAATTTGTGCTGTCTTGGGCCAAAGGCAATTTTAAAGATTAGAATCCTTACAGTGTATTTTAAACATGCTTAAACTCTACAGTTGGTTTTATTTCCAAATAAGAAAATCTGAGTCAGTTAATGAAGAAAAGATTTTTCTTCTTGGGCCCTGTTGCTTTCCCTCTGTTTTAGCCCCAGCCCTTCCTTATTCCCAGTGCCTTTGCCTTCCTTCTTCATTCTTCTGGGTGTCTTTAGAGGAAAACTTCACACACCAACTTCCTCTACTATAAATTCCCTCCCTCCCTCCATCTCTAAGATCACTTTCTTTGCCAACACACACCAATACTTCTTCACTAAGTCCACAGTCCTTTCTGGCTGCTTTCTATCTCAACACTCTCGTTGAAATTCTCCCTTTTTCTTCCTTTGATGAGTTGTCAAGTT